GGGAGGGGCCAGGCGGTCCCCGGAGCCCGGTGGACGTGGAGGCGGGAGGTCCTCGCGCATCCCCGACGGAGTCCCCGCGGGACTGCCCCTGACGCGGGCCGAGGCTGGCCGCGGGCTTGGGGGATGGTCCGCCTGCCCCTAATCTGGCTCCTCGGGCTTTGCGATTTCCGTCCAACGGGTCCCTCCGCCCTGCGGTGCTCCTCGGCGCTCGGTGCCTCCGGCAGGGGCCCCTGGAGCGGCGCGAACCAGCGGTGCCGGGGTGATGGGGCAGGAAGTCCCCTCCTGCGTCCCGTCCCTGGCTTCCTTTTTCAAACGCTTCTTGCGGTTTCCTGACGCGAATGGAGGTGAGGTCCACCGCTCGGTGTTCTGCTTCGGCCGCCCTGGAGGAGCGGTAGGGCTTCGAATCCCAAAGCGGGGTTGCTGTTCGGCTGTAGATGGTCTGGAGCTCGGTGGGTTGCCGAACTTTTTCTAGGGAGATGGCTGCTTTGGGGGTCAGTGTACGGGGTGCCTTGGAGGGTCTTCAGCGGGTAGGGGATATTCGTTCCCAGGAAGTTCCTGAAAGAACTCTCCGGCCGCTCTGCCAGCTGCCTTGAAGCCCCTCTAGCCGTGGTTTCTGGCTTCCCAGGGCTGAGTGTCAGGGGGAGCAAGGGGTGGGAATTTGCCCACCTGGAGTGCAGTCCTAATTTAGGGACACATTATTCGCAGGACAGCAGGTGAGGTTATTGCAGTGATTCCTCTTGGCAGAGAGCTGAAAGGAATTTAAGGGGAGATGGTAGACTAAAACTGCCACACTTCCAGGCTCTATCTGCTGGTCTGACTGATTACATGTATCTATGACTGTGACTCTGACTGATTAGTTGTATTTTTGTATGTGTTTCTCTTGCCTCTGTTAGTCATTTTTTGGGTTCCCCGCCCCCCTTTGAGTCTCTAGGGACCATGTGCCCTAGTTTGTGGGAGTCAGAACAGAGAAAGTTAGATGGAAGGCAGATTTAGTGTGTGTCTGTGTGCGTGTGTGCACACCCACCTGTATGCATGTGCATAACCTGCTCCAGCCACCATGAGGACTTGTCATCTAACTGTTGCCTGCTCCCATTTAGAATCTTCTGATCTTGGTGGAGACACAGAGAAGATGGGAGAGAGGTTAATCTCTGGCTGATGGCTTGAGGCCCTGCCTTGGGACTGTGATTGTGGCAGAGGCATGATCTTAGGGCTTGCATGTGCCAACAGAGAAAAGTGTGAGAAACTCAAAGCTGAGGCTTCATTTTTTTTTTTTTTGAGTTGGAGTCTTACTCCATCACCCAGGCTGGAGTGCAGTGGCATGCACCCGGCCACCGCAGCCTTGACATGCTGGGCTCAGGCAATCCTTCCACCTCAGCCTTCCAAGTTGCCAGAACTACAGGTGTGCGTTACCATGCAGCTAATTTTTTGATTTATTGTATAGTTGAGGCTCGCCAAGTTGCCCAGGCTGGTCTCGAACCTATGGGCTCAGGCAGTACACTCACCTTGACCTCCCAGAGTGCTGGGTTTACAGGCTTGAACCACTGGCCCTGCTGAGACTTCTATCTTTGTGCTGCCTTGATCTGTCAAAAGACTCCTTCTATCCATTTTGCTTCTGCTGGTTAATTTCTCTGCTACACAGAAAAATCTAGTGCTAGAATTAAGAGAGCTGAGACTTAGCCTGCTATCTGACCAGGTTGGGGGGCTCATCTGAGGCAGATATAGCCACGGGGGCCTATACACCTGAGAGATTGGGGTTGCCATATGTATTCATAGTAGTCCTGAAGTGGTCCAGAGGTCAGCATGGTGCCCACGGAACTCACCCGGCTGACCTCCGAAACAGAAAGTGCTGATTTGGGCTTATGTACAACACTGTGACCCTGGAAGCTCTTAGAATTTATTCCTCCTAAGCTGGGCACCGTGGCTCATGCCTGTAATCCCAGCACTTTGGGAGACTGAGGCGAGAGGGTTGCCTGAGCCCAGGGGTTCGAGACCAGCCTGGGCAACTTGGCGAGATCGCGTCTCTACAATAAACCAAAAAATTATCCAGGAGTGATGGCACATGCCTGTGGTTCCAGCTACTTGGAAGACTGAGGTGGAAGGATCACCTGAGCCCAGCAGGTTGAGGCTATGGTGGCCGTGAGCTTGCCAACCTGGGGGACAGAGTGAGACTCCAACTCAAAAAAAAAAAAAAAAAAGAACTTACCCTCCTCAGCCGCCTTCCACCCCCATGGTCTTACTCTAGGTCTTTTATTTGATTAGCAGCAGCGGCAGTGCCTTAGAAGTAGATACTCACTTCTCACAGAGGGATTTGAGATCTTTAGACAGATTAAACCCAGCCAGACTGAGGGTTATAGTGTTTTACCTCTGTGCCAGACATATCTCCCCAAAGTGGGGATAAGGCTAGAAAGATGGCTGTGGCCCTGGCTGTAGTGCGGTGCTGCTCCGTCTCTCTGCTCCCCACAACCCCCAGGCTTCCCTGCCAGTTCAAGGGCCTTAGGATTCAGTGGAACAACGCCCTTTGGTTTTGACACTTTTTCCAGCGAGGAGAGCCGTCATTCCTTGGGTGTTCTAGAGTGGAAGGTAGAGGCTTTGTGTAGCCTTCCTGAGGCTGGGCAAGTGGCAGAGCCCAAGAAGCCTGGGCTCTACAGGATGGGAAGGAAAGAGGCTGGTGGTAATGACCCTATGGCATCTACCTGTGGCTTCTCATCATCTCCCAATTAGTCCTGGATGCATCTGGAAAGGAAAGCAGAGGTACCTGATAGGCATTCCTCCCCGTGACTAGCCTAGGGGCTCCTGGCAGCCCCTCAGGGACTCTGCTGGGTCTGAGGCCAACTGAGGTGGGCCTTGAGCAGTTGTCAGGCCCTGCCTAGCCATGATGTCTAGCAGAAGTGATGTCTTGGATGAAGGCAGCCTGCAAAGGGCCGGGCCGGATTGTTTGCACCTGGTCCCAGTGGACCTTTCCTGCAGCACTGGCTTTTTTTTTGGCAGATTTCATAAAAGCAGCAGTGGTGGCACGTATCCTGGTGACAGGGATGACAAGGATGGCCAAAGGCAACAGTGCTCAGGATCCTCCCTGACATTCCCATTTGCTCCCATGTCTCAGTTACAGGCCCAAAAACTGCGACTGGCATACACAAGGAGCTCCCATTATGGTGGCTCCCTGCCCAACGTGAACCAGATTGGCTGTGGCCTGGCTGAGTTCCAGGTGAGTCAACGCCAGCCAGGGAGGAGCGGAGGCACTGAGGCTGTGTCCTCTGCTGACTTACCTGTCCCCTTTGCCAGAGCCCCCTCCACTCACCCTTGGATTCATCTCGGAGCACTCGGCACCACGGGCTGGTGGAACGGGTGCAGAGAGACCCCCGCAGGATGGTGTCGCCACTCCGCCGGTACCCCCGGCACATATCCTTCACAGGGGCAGGGGTCTTCAGGGGTGGACAGGGTTCCTCAGACACTCAGGACACAAAGGGACTGTGCTGTACAGTTCCCATCCTGCTCCTTCCACAGCCTCCCTGAACTGGATCCTGGGACAGTCTCTCCTGAGGCAGTGCCCTCTGTCTCTGGCTGGCTCTGACGACTTTCCTTCAGCTCACTCCTTGCTGCCATAGGCAGGGCTTCCAGGTCTCCTGCTACAGGGGGTTGGGCACTACCCCTCACATTTCTGTTCTTGGCTTTCTTTTTTTTTTTTTTTGAGTTGGAGTTTCACTCTGTCACCCAGACTGGAGTGCAGTGGCACGCTCCCAGCCACCACAGCCTCAACCTGCTGGGCTCCAGCTATCCTTCCACCTCAACTTTCCAAGTAGCTGGAACAACAGGCACATGCTACCCTGCCCAGCTAATTTTTGATTTATTGTAGAGACGAGGTCTCGCCAAATTTCCCGGCTGGGTCTTGAACCCTTGGCAATCCACTCACGTCGGCCTCCCGAAGTGCTGGGATTACAGGCTGAGCCACTTTGGTTTTCAACTCAAAGACCACACACTTGTCTCCCCCAAGCTCTCCCTAGACCTTCTGGTATAGGTTTTCAGCTCCATTAGGCCTGATTCCCTTCTCTACCATTCTACCATTCTTTCTTGCCTCTTGTGGAGGAGGAGAAGGGTGTGTGATTCTTTTTTTGTTTTTTGTTTTTTGAGTCAGATTCCCACTCTGTCACCCAGGCTGGAGTGCAGCGGCATGCTCATGGCCACTGCACCCTCGATCTGCTGGGCTCAAATAATCCTTCCACCTCAGCCTTCTGAGTAGCTGGGACTACAGGCACACAGTACTCTGCCCAGCTAATTTTACAATTTATTGTAGAGATGCAGTCTTGCCAAGTTGCCCAGGTCTTAAACCCCCAGACTCAGGCAATCCTCTCACCTTGGTCTCCCAAAGTACTGGGGTTACAGGTGTGAGCCACCACCCCGGCCATATTTCTTGAAACAAACCATCTGCCACCTCTGTTATATTTCCTTTTTCTGGCCTCTTTCCCATCTCTTCTGTGACCACTGTTTTCCTTGACTGGTGCTGTTCACGTTGACAGCTCTCCCTACAGTCCCGCCTACTTATCTCCTCCCCCCGAATCCAGCTGGAGAAGGTAAGTGTTCAGGGGAGCCAAATCTCCTGCCCACTCTGACATGTTTTTGGAGGGAGCTTGTTGGGGTTGGGAGTACTGGGTGAGAATTTCAACCATACCTCCTCCCAGAAGCGCAGGTTTGGAAAGGGTGGGGGCAGGTGGAGTAGGTGGGTCAGAGTCCAGTCTTGGCCATGTTGACAGGAGTGGCCAAGCCTCCCAGTCCAGCCAGAGCAGGGCCAAATGGAGCTGTGGCCAGGCTGGGGTGTATGTACGGAGAGGGGAGAATGGCAGGGTGGCCAGTGAACATGGCTCCCTGCTGTCACGAGTGGGTGCCAGATGTAGTGCTCTGGCACTTTCAGATTTCTGAACCCCTGTGTGTCTCACCCCAAAACTCATACCCAGCAGAGTTGCTGGACTTCAAGATTCCCATTCAGCTTGTTCTGGCAGAGACAAGTTCAAAGGTTTCCATATCTCTTAGATTCACTGGGGGAATCAATTATAGACATCAGAAGAACCAGAAAGAGACACTTTCCTAGTTGCCCAGCCCTCTCTACTCTGCCGTGGCTGCCCCACATTTTCCAGCACCCACACCCAGCTTCTTGTCCACTGCCACCCTTCCTCCCCTTGATGTTGTTTTTCCACCCCAGGACGATGCCCTGGGGCAACTTCCCTGCAGAGAAGGGGCAGTTGTTTCGTCTACCATCTGCACTTAACAGGTGATGGCCTTTGCCTTCTTTAGGCCACATCTCTTCTTACCTGTAGTTTGGGGGCCCCTCTCCCTCACCCTCACTCTGTTCTAGCCCAGCTAGTGTTTTCCCTTGCTGGGCAGGGCTTGGGCACCACAAAGATTGTCACTGGTGCCAGCTCATTTCTGCTCCCCTCACAGGACGAGCTCTGACTCTGCCCTTCATACAAGTGTGATGAACCCCAGTCCCCAGGACACTTACCCAGGTCCCACACCTCCCAGCATCCTGCCCAGCCGACGTGGAGGTAAGTGCCATGTCCCAGGGTTGGGAGCTATTTTGTGAAGCGGGCAGGAAAGTGGGCACTATAGCCAACTCCACCGTATCCCTTGCAGGATTCCTGGATGGTGAAATGGACTCCAAAGGTATGTGTTCCTCACCACTTGTGGGTGCTGAATGCCCAAGAATTTGGGGGCTGGTGTTGGGGACTTTGTGCGGGTTCAAGGAGCAGGACTCCTTCTTGTCTGCCTCTGCTTCCTGTCCTGCCTTGCCAACTCCTTCTCCAACCCTCCCATCACCAGTTTTTCTCTTTCAAGTCCCTGCTATTGAGGAGAACTTGCTAGATGACAAGCATTTACTGAAGCCATGGGATGCAAAGAAGGTAGGTGTGGGCTACTGGGTGTCACCCACTGTCCCTCTGCTCTCCCCTTTTCATGGGGCAGGCCTTTCAGGATTCTCCACTGGAAAGCGACCTGTCCTCATTGTCTGCATCCTCCCTTCTGTCCCCAGCTGTCCTCATCCTCCTCCCGACCTCGGTCCTGTGAAGTCCCTGGAATTAAGTAAGTACCCCTGCAAGGTTGACTGCCAGGTAGAGGTGGAAAGTACTGAGAGATACAGAGACTGATCTCTGCTCTTCTCTGGCCATGGTCCCCCTGTCGACATCTTTCTTTTTCTCTCCGCCCCTTAGCATCTTTCCGTCTCCTGACCAGCCTGCCAGCGTGCCTGTCCTCCCACCTGCAATGAACACGGGGGGCTCCCTACCTGACCTCACCAACCTGCACTTTCCCCCACCGCTGCCCACCCCCCTGGACCCTGAGGAGACAGCCGGCCCTCACCTGAGTGGGGGCAACAGCACCTCCAATTTGACCCACACCATGACCCACTTGGGCATCAGTGGGGGCCTGGGCCTAGGCCCAGGCTATAACGCACCCGGTGAGTGGCTGCCCTGGTCATGTGCCCACTGGGCGCTGCCTGGCTGGGAGGATAGGGAAAGGGAGGCTTGAGCACCTGAGGGCCTCCTGTGACCACCCACACCAGCCTGTCACCTCCACCCAGGATCTCCTCCCTGTAATTCTCAGCCAGTGAGAACTGGCAGGTGTGGCTTTTCCTAGAAGGAGGACAAAGAGCAGCCCCCAGGCGAGCAACGTCTCACTGTCAGGGACAGAGTAGGGAGGACGTTGTGTTGCCACTGTCATGGTCTGTCACTGCTACCCATCCTGGGCGGAAAGGGGCCCAGTCCCATCAGTAATGTTGGCATCTCTGGTTTTTTGTCTGTGCCTGCAGGACTTCATTCGCCTCTCAGCCACCCATCCCTGCAGTCCTCCCTAAGCAATCCCAACCTCCAGGCTTCCCTGAGCAGTCCCCAGCCCCAGCTCCAGGGCTCCCACAGCCACCCCTCACTGCCTGCCTCTTCCTTGGCCCGCCATGCCCTGCCCACCACCTCCCTGGGCCACCCCTCACTCAGTGCCCCAGCTCTCTCCTCCTCCTCCACTTCATCCCCCATTTTGGGAGCGCCTCCTTACCCAGCTTCTACCCCCGGGGCTTCCCCCCGCCATCGCCGTGTGCCCCTCAGCCCCCTGAGTTTGCCCGCGGGCCCAGCCGACGCCAGAAGGTCCCAACAGCAGCTGCCCAAACAGTTTTCGCCAACAATGTCACCCACCTTGTCTTCCATCACTCAGGTATGCGTGGCTGCCTGCCCTACACGTCTGTCTCCCTCCCCTCTGTCTTCTCCGCCATGTTCTCTCCACCTGCCCTTCTTGCCTCAGATGCCTCTTCCCCTTCCTTTCTGCACCCTTGTCTCATCCATTCCTTCATTCCTCTGTCTTCCATAGACCCACCTTGTATCCATCTTGTTTCATCTACTTAAGAATACAAACCCAAGCCGGGCTCGGTGGCTCAGCCTGTAATCCCAGTACTTTGGGAGGCTGAGGTGAGTGGATTGCCTCAGCCCGCAGGTTCGAGACCCGCCTGGGCAACTTGGTGAGACCTCATCTCTACAATAAATCAAAAAATCAGCCGGGCGTGGTACCTGTAGTTCCGGCTACTCGGAAGGCTGAGGTGGAAGGATCGCCGGAGCCTAGCAGGTCGAGGCTGCGGTGGCCGGGGG